TTAATAAAACCGAGAACACAAAATTACTAAAACCAGCAACACATAAGAAACTAAGAAACCCTAACGCCGCATTACTTAAACCCGAAACTTAGATAAAAACTCTTACTTCCGGGAATACTAAAACACATGGTTCAAGGAGAAGAAATTGTGCACTCATGGTGATCTTTTCCCACCAAAATATAATTATGATAATGTATCTACTGTACTCAGGTGTGCGTTTATACCGGGGGGAAGGGGGGTGAAGGGTGAACCCAAAAGGAAAAGGTCGGGGATGCTGGTTGCAAATTTTGAATGGCTTGAGCTTTATTTGACCCCTAAATCAAAAGATACCACTTAGAACGAAATATCTCGATCACCAGCCGCTGTTCCAGAAATTTATTTATTTCTTATATTTTTTTGGCGTTCCGTGTTTTAGTAATCCTGCGTTTTAATACGCATTCCGGATTTTAGTTTTTGTGTGTGTTCCGGGTTTTAGTTCCTGGTTTCAGTATTCCGGCGTCCCACCGTTCGTGTGGCCACTTGCAAGAGTATTTTCCTCAGCCCAGTCTCCTCTCTACAGACTTCATTTTATAGTCCCGGTATACCACAACGGGGCACAAGCCGAGATGAGGACCAATTTGAAAAAGTAAATTGTTTGCTGTTTATAGGAAATCGAGGAGTTATCCAGTGGCCTAGAGAGGATATGAAGCAGCTACTATCGGGTGTACATAGTCGTGATTATAAACCGTACAGAAAGCTTGAAGTTAGAACCTAACATTTCAAGTGCNCCCGGAACTCAGGAATACTGAAACCAGGAATACTAACACCAAGAACACAAAATTACTAAAACCCGGAACGTGTAAAAAATACTAAATGCTGGGTTAATAAAACCGAGAACACAAAATTACTAAAACCAGCGACACATAAGAAACTAAGAAACCCTAACGCCGCATTACTTAAACCCGAAACTTAGATAAAAACTCTTACTTCCGGGAATACTAAAACACATGCTTCAAGTAGGAGAAATTGTGCACTCGTGGTGATCTTTTCTTACCAAAATATAATTATGATAATGTATCTACTGTAGTTAGGTGTGCGTTTATCCCGTGGGGAGGGGGCGGGGGTGAAGGGGGAACCCAAAAGGAAAAGGTCGGGGATGCTGGTTGGAAATTTTGAATGGCTTGAGCTTTATTTGACCCCTAAATCAAAAGATACCACTTAGAGCGAAATAACTCGATCACCAGCCGCTGTTCCAGAAATTTATTTGTTTATTATATTTTTTTGGCGTTCCGTGTTTTAGTAATCCTGCGTTTTAATATGCATTCCGGATTTTAGTAATTGTGTGTTCCTGGTTTTAGTTCCTGGTTTCAGTATTCCGGCGTTCCACCGTTCGTGTGGCAGCTTGCAAGTATTTTCCTCAGCCCAGTCTCCTCTCTACATACTTCATTTTATCGTCCGGGTATACCACAACGGGGTACAAACCAAGATGACGACCAATTTGAAAAAGTAAATTGTTTGCTGTTTATAGGAAATCGAGGAGTTATCCAGTGGCCCAGAGAGGATATGAAGCAGCTACTATCGGGTGTACATAGTCGTGGTTATAAACCGTACAGAAAGCTTGAAGTTAGAACCTAACATTTCAAGTGCCCATCCTCTCACAAGGTAAACACAGATTCCTTTTTATCAACAAAGAAAACATGATCACAGTCGCCCTAGCGTGATGCTTTAATTGGAGATGTCACAAGCCTAGTATTTAGTTTATTGAGAATTTCGTAGATCGAGTTGTTTCGAATTCCGAAACAATTTTTAAGAGGTTTAATTAATTAACTTTAAGCTACTTTTAGCTTAATTTTTTGTTTACGATCGATCGAGAGCGAATGAATTAAATAATTAGATGAAAATCACCATACCTGGAAGTCTTTGGTTTTTTGCTCAAGGGTATAAAAGTTCAAGGTTTTAAGCTGTGAAATAATGTTTATACTGTCGCTGGTAGCCCCAGATTTTAGTCTAAACTTGACTCGCGGCGATCTTTTTTATCGATCCGATCGTATGATCTCTTGGAAAGTGACATCACTTCATAAAGATAATTTTAAAAATTAATCTATAATATAGCTTATATGTCTAAAAAAAATTGCAATGGATTTGAGCTGTTACCCTGAATAAAGCCAGTTCTCAAAGGTTTAGATTTTTACCCATTATTTTGCCGGCCATATTGAATACCGTGTTTTAGGAACTTGGGAACTAAAGTAAGGCACGTGTCAAGTTTTCTCAATTTTGATTGGTTGCTTCAAAGGAGCTTCGGTTCTGGCGGTTTGCACGAACTGCGCAGTCCTCACTTCGCGATCGTTAGAGGTGAGGAAGAAGCTTCATCTCAATTTCGCGCCATTTCGGTCGACACACCGCGCATTGGCAATGGCGGCCGAAGCAAGTCCATTGAAGGTAAAAAGATTGTCCGATCTCTACTACTGGGCTATAATTTTTAGGTACTGAAGCACAAATACAAGTGTGAAAATGATATAGAAGTTAGGAATGAAGTATAAGTTTGTTCCCAGGGGAAGGATCGAAGAATAGTACTGATATCCATGCATCTACAGTAGTTGACAAGTTGCACGCGTTGTTCGGCGTGAGTTTATGCTTTCTCTCGAAATGATCGCTGGCATTCTTCAAGATATTCCAAATGACGGTTCCTTTGGCAAATAGAAGGCTTTTTGTTTTTGTAGGAGATAATGAGTAATGACCCAAACTCTACCAACAAAGATGCATTTGCTACCAAGAAGAAGAAACGAATGTCGGTGGAGAGAATATATCAAAAGAAGACTCAACTGGAACACATCCTGCTCCGGCCAGATACTTACATTGGTTCTGTGGAGCCAATCAAACAGAATATGTGGGTCTATGATGCAGAGATGGAGGCCATTGTCAGTAAGGAAATAACATTTGTGCCGGGTCTGTACAAGATCTTTGATGAAATATTAGGTAAGTGTGCACTTTTAAATACTGCCGCTGGAGAGTTCCAGAGTTTATATTTGTTGATGGAGAGAATGTTAATTGGTGTTAACTGGAAAGAGTGAAACTGCTTTTTTCCCTTGGGTGACCTACTCTGCACGGCAGATTTTGAAAAATTAAAGCAATAATATTTGATGTGTTTCTTTCCGAGGGGTATTGCCATTTGAAAAGGTCAGGGATGCTTGTCAGAAAATTTGAATTGAACCAATCTGGGGTAGCTTGAGCTTTATTTTACCACTAAAAGATACCACTTAAAATGGAAATGACTGTGGTTTTCTTATTGTTTCTTTGAGCGCACCCTAAAAGACACTTTGATGATTTTTATCCTGAACACAAATGAGTGGGACTTAGATCCTTGATTTACACCCCTAAGCGCAGACTTCCAGAAAAGTCCTTCATCTCATTTATTCTTGACCCACCAGACTGCCCACGGTTTCATCATTCACTTGGCCGCTTTGTGACTTTTGAATGGCCACTTTGCAGCCTAAAACCTGGCAGCTTGCTTCACTCACTTGGTTATTCTCTGTTGAAACTCATAATGTTGACTTGCATTTAGATCTTTCAGTGGCAAGTCTACTCTAAGCGAGACAATGAGCATACTTGGTGTTTTCATATGGGGCTTCCCCACCACCCCTCCCCCATTCCCCGCTGAGGTTTTCCTTGATTGTGAGTGGCAATGTGACCCCTTAATTCTGTTAATTAGATGTTTTGGTGGCAAAAAGGTGTTTGAATACAGTGTACTTGGTTTAATTCATTTGTAGAAGTCTTATACAAAAGCACAAGGCTTGATTTCTTGAAAATTCTGGAAAACTCCTGGAATTTTATTTTATTAGTCAATCAAATGTGATAGTACAAGTATTTAAGGATGGAAGCATAAAATTAATGTAATGTGCACTTGTCAGACTTAAAACATAGTAATGGTCTTATTTGTTAATTCTTGATTCATTAGTTAACGCAGCTGACAATAAGCAAAGGGATCCTTCCATGGGTTGCATTAAAGTCACAATTGATGCGTAAGTTAAGAGTTATTACATTTACATGCATTGGATTTGCTTTAGATCCATTAACACATACAATTTGTTGAATTGTACAATTTTTTCCCACAGGTCATATATGTATAAAAGTATAAGTGAACTGTTCATAATTTTTCAGTAGGGGTTGTTCAGAAAAAAAGACAATGTCCTAATGAATATTGTACCACATTTGTTTACCAATGACTGGCATTTGTTTAGTGCTGTTATTGTGCCATGAACTGAGAATGAGAGGTAGAATTGAGTCATCAAAGCAGAAGTGCTGAAAAATGGCAGAAATTACTGTGAGCTGCGTAAATAACAACTTCAAATATAACATACTGTAATTTTAACCTCTGATTAGTGCATGTATTTTTGGCAGGAAAGATTATTTTTATGGATTGAATATGATGACTTAATTATCTAGATTAACCTACAAAACCAAGGCTGTGGTCCAAGCAAAATTTTGAGGAGCCCAAAGGTTCCTAACCATAAAATCCTGGGTGCCCAGCACTCAAGCTTATATGAAAAAAAGTGAGTTTTTCCAGTCACCCAAAGTCAAAAGTTAGTCGCCTGTGGCACCCTGGTGCTTCTAGAGCACAGCCCTGAAAACAGTTAGAAACAGGGAACAAAATTCCGAGCTTGTAAATGAAAAGGTAAACAAAGGCTAACTGGGTAACAACTATTATACAATGTAGTTTAACCACCATGTATACTTAAATTTTAGTGAAAACAACACCATCAGTATTTGGAATGACGGACGTGGCATCCCAGTTGAAATGCACAAGGAACAAAAGGTGTTTGTGCCAACATTGATTTTTGGCCAACTTCTGACATCAAGCAACTACAACGACTCAGAAAAGAAAGTCACAGGAGGACGTAATGGTTATGGTGCAAAGCTATGTAACATTTTTAGCACAAAGTTTGTTGTGGAAACTTGCTCCTCTGACTCTGGAAAGAAGTTTAAGCAGGTAGGCTTACTCCGTAAAATGATCTTCAGCTACATTCCCACATCC